GCTGGGGGGAAAATTATTACCAGAAAGGATTATATAGATCAACTACTGCTAAAAAAAAATTGCTTCTGGTGGTTATTCTTCAATTTTTTTTTAATTTTTATTTATTTTTTATGATAGTCACACAGAGAGAGAGAGAAAGAGGCAGAGGCATAGGCAGAGGGAGAAGCAGGCTCCATGCACCGGGAGCCCGACGTGGGATTCGATCCGGGGTCTTCAGAATCGTGCCCTGGGCCAAAGGCAGGCACCAAACCGCTGCGCCACCCAGGGATCCCTATTCTTCAATTTTTTAACTGTAAATATAACAATCTCTTAAAATAAGATGCTACAGATAGTCAGCTTGGTATACTTATTGTAGTGGTTTATCATGAAGAGTACATGAGGAAGGAGCACTGCTCCAAACTACGAGCACTGCTCAAAATTTCAAAGGAAACTCTGGTTATGGACACTTGCTCAGCCTACCATATTTAGCAAAGAGTCCTCATAATGTTCTTTGGGTTTCACAAATAGAACACTTAACCTATCACAAATCAACCTTTATTTTCCATTTTTGTTTTGCTTTTACTTTGAAGCTCAACTATCTCTTAAAAATATGTTCTCAACTCAACCTGCAATACAAAATAGCTGTACTCTGATACTTCTTAGGCAGCATAATTTCTGATTCATTACTAACTACTACTATTAAAAATTGAGTTGAGAAGTGCCTGGCTGGTTCATTCAGTCAGAAGAGCCTGTGACTCTTGATCTTGGGGTCATGAGTTCAAGCCCCATACAGGGTGTAGAGACTAAATAAATAACATTTTTTTAAGAAATTGAGTTGGAAGATAGAATATTTAGAGAGAACTGAACAAGTACATATAGGTCATCCACTCCTCCATATATTATAAATCCAGGCCTGGTCAAGTCAGAGCAACAGACATCTCAATACCTAGATGATAATGTACTGATCTCTTAAGAACTACTGTTACCGAATTATAGTTTGGTACAATAGCAAGAGCCCACATTGAAAACTGGTAAAGTCAAGTCCCAAGAAACCATGGCTGTCAAGATATTGTCTAGATAATATCCAAGAGTATCTATACCTCTGAACAATAAGTTTGTTTTATATTATGAACTCTGTAACCTAGTGTCAATGACTAGAGAGTATAGTCAGAGCCAAACATATAGCCTGTCCAGAGACAAGTTTCAGATTACCATGCTACATGCTTTCCCTGACTTCATTTTATATCCATCTCCACCTTCACTTTTCATTTTTCTTTTGCTTCCACTTTTAACTTCTGTTTTACTATTTTGTGATAATCTACATGTATAAACGACTTTAAATCCTTTTTAGAACAAAGCAGAAGAACACTGAAATGAATAAAGAGAGTTTCCTGGAGACCTTTTAGATCCTTTGTAGAATCTAGATTCATGTAATACTTTGGATAAAATTGTACATATTTGATCATTAAAGGGGGGGATGAACTAAAGCCAAGAGCTTTTATCCCTAAGAATTTAATTACTTAGACTTACTTTATCTTGGACAGCTGACCGGGCATTGGCGAATTTTTTAAGTCTACTACTATATGGTTAAAATGATGTTTCTAAGAGGTATATATATAAGACACATGATTTTAAAAAATTGTCATTAAAGCTGCAAACATTCAGTAAATTTTACCTGATGCAAAACAACTTTTTGAAGACAAATCTGACTTCATTATTAAAAGATGAGCAGCAAGGGACTAGCTGTCTTTTTTACTTATAAACTACCAAAGCAAGCTACTATTTCCTTATGGCAGAAAAAGGTAAGGAAATGAGAATTTCGACCATACATAGCATCTCCAAGTCTTGAAAAGGAACTTAAAAAAAAAAATGGAGAAAATTCTTTCCTTGGAATAGACACTGGTATACCTAAGGAGCTACACATCTAAAATTATCTTGGGGCTTGCTAATAGTTGTAGAATGCAAGAAGCATCTTTTCCAAAAAAATTAAAGAAATATATTGACAAAGTAGTTTCTACTCCTATGATACGTTATTGGAGAAAGTAGATAAAAGCAAGACTGTCATATATTTGAGAGGTAGTCAAAGAGTTGTTCTTTTGGGCTCACTCTCATTGGTGTTAAACCTTGGCCATGCTTCTGCTCATCAGAAATCCTGCAGCTCGAGATTCAAATAAAGATAACCAATATACAGAAACAGAGTGTCAGGGTGCCTGGGTGGCTTAGTTGGTTAAGTGTTCGACTCAGTCTCAGCTAAGGTCTTGATCTCAGGGCTGTGAGTTCAAGCCCCATGTTGGGGTCCATTCTGGGCATGGAGCCTACTTGAAAAAAAAAAAAAAAAGAAATGGAGTGTCCTGAAAACTGAAGAAAAAAAGGAAAGCTGGGTGTATCGAGAGAGAGCCTTAAACTACAAAAAGGAAGAAATGCATAATCTTATTGGAAATTCAGACAACTAAGCAGATGCGCCTATCTTTTCCTCAGCCTTACTTAAAATCCAACATTGTAATGGCTCCCATTGTCTTTTGATTCCAGAAGAGGAATCAATTAAGTATATCTTGAAAGATCAATATAACTAGGAGGAAGAAAGCAAGCTTTTCCTAAGCAGTTTGCAATTAGAACAGAGTTAAAAGGCTTTCCATGGGGCAGCCCTGGTGGCCCAGCAGTGGCCCAGCGGTTTAGCGTAGCCTTCAGCCCAGGGCGTGATCCTGGAGACCTGGGATCGAGTCTCAGGTCATGCTCCCTGCATGGAGCCTGCTTCTCCCTCACCCTGTGTCTCTGCCTCTCTCTCTCTCTCTCTCTCTCTCTCTCTCTCTCTCTCTGTGTCTCTCATGAATGAATAAATAAAATGTTTAAAAAAAAAAAGGCTTTCCATGATATGAATTAATAGCCCTTCCTAAAACCAGACAACCCAAGAGATGATGTAGATCAGAGTTCCTCAAATTCAGCACTACTGACACTTAAGGCCAGAAAATTCTTTGTCATGGTGGGCTGTCCTGCACATTGTGGCATGTTTACCAGCATCCATTGCCTCTACCCTCTAAATGGCAAAAGCCCCCTTACCAGTTGTGATAACCAAAAAATACTGGCAACCATTGTCAAATATCAGGGGCAAAATCACTCCTGTTGAGCATCATTGCTATTAATAAAACAAGTAACAAAGAGCTGCCAAGAATAACTCACACTCTGGGTCAATAACACTCCCAAAACCATTCTACTTCCCGAACCAGGATACAGAAGGAACAGCAGGAATAGTAGGAAAAAATGACAAGTTCAAATTTTGGGTATATCAAAATATGGGATACCAAATGGAGATGTACAAAAGGCAGTTGGGTATATGGGAATGGAACCAAGAAAAGAGGTCTTGGCTGGAGAAACAGGCCAGAAAAGCATTAGCTGCATTAGCACCTCTGAGAAAGACTTTTGCAAACCTGGAGCCAAAATAAAATCCTCTTAAGAGATGATGATTATTATCCTATACAAATTCTACCTAGTACCTAATTAAATAAGAAGCCCTTGATGGATTTAGTCTACGGCAGGGTAATGTACTCATGTACAATTTTTACCTTCATCTGGACAAACCTGCCATATGTTAAAGTCTTCAGAGTAAATAGTCACATATCTTTACTAATTGATACACTGCAATAATTTTCCCATTTGGCATATGCTCCCTCATCTGACTTTTGTTCCCAAATTCATTGTCCTATAGTCTATTTTGAATAGATACTTGTTCTCTACTACTTCAGATACATAATTAGTAAAAGAAGATGCAATTCTCAACATTAAGAATTAAATGCTAGGAGGATCCTTGGGTGGCTCAGCAGTTTAGCGCCTGCCTTCAGCCCAGAGTGTGATCCTGGAGTCCCAGGATCGAGTTCCACATTGGGCTTCCTGCATGAGCCTGCTTCTCCCTCTGCCTGTGTCTCTGCCTCTCTCTCTGTGTCTCTCATGAATAAATAAATAAAATCTTTAAAAAAATAATAATAATTAAATGCTAGTGAGTTTTCCAACATTATTAAAGAAATTATATATGAAAAGACTCAGGCTCCAAACAGATTACTTTTTTTCTTCAATAGAAAACTCTCTAAGAGTCTGAATACACCTCAGTTCAAGAGCATATTTTCCTGAATGTCTGTTTTTTGATTGAGAAAATTTACTTAAATGTAATTTTCCAAGAAATTACAAGACACATTTCTACATATGCATAAGTTCACTTGTTAAAAACCTATTCAACATGTTTTATGAAGAGCTACATTTCATGCAAAAATAGCAGTGAAGAAATAATTTTCCTAACTTACTACATATAATCTGGTTAACAAAATATAGTTAAAGTAAAATAAATCTGAATAAGTGAATAGGAATACTTTGCAGTATATTATGTTTAGTTTAAACTGGTTTCCTTGTATAAAATCTTCTATTGTATCCTTTTTTTTAAACTAGCTTAAAAAATTTTAGTGAGAGTAAGTTGAGAATTTGTTTTAAAACAGTCATTTAAAGTATCAATCAATTCACAGAATTTTCACCAAGCTCACCTTGATAGTTACACCAACACACTGACATGCATTCAGTAAGAACAGGTATAAATAAAAGATGGTAATACTTTCTTTTAGAGTTGATAAATTATTAAGGAGAGAACACAAATCCACACACACTCCTAAAAGGAAAATTAAGTTTAGCATTTTTCTGATCACAAACTAAATATTTACTAACAACATTATTAGGACTCACTTTTGTTTACATAATCCTTACTAGAAATAAAATTATACCATTAAATAAAAATACCAGTAAATAATTGTTTTTCATTATACATTCCTTAGACTAAACTTAACAAACCTGATATGATTTTTGTTGAAGAAAATCACTGTGATCCCCCACCACCACTACCACAGCCCTTTCTTTCCCCACATAAAGAAAATGCAAATAATGCCCAATTTAATATACATTCTCCAATGATTCTGATCACTGAAAATTATAGCTAGAGAAGAAGAAAAAAGTAGTGAAACGTGTTTAAAATTGTACTTTCTTACCAATATGTTGCTGCAGAGCCCAAGAAGAGCTTGAGGCACGAGCGGAGAGCATCTTTTCAATAGTTGGAGGAAGCCTCCTCCAATTGGTAAACTCCAAAGTGAAGATAAGGGTATCATCACTGACTGAGTCAATCCTGTATTGGCAAGATGGTAACACATTGTTAAACACAAAAGGGTTCATCCTGAAAACAAACACCACATAACTATTCTTACAACATTGCAGTATAGAAGGAAGAGCGAAAACTGGGGCATAGAAAATATCTGTGTAACTGGAGGCAAGTTGAATGTATATGAATAATCATCTACAGGTTCCTACAAAAAAATGAATTGATTCTGTGTACAGCTGTGCAGTAGATGATCAGAGAATCTCTACTCTTGCAGAGGACAGGAACTTTCCCTCTCATTCCTCAGCAACAGTGCTAAGAAAAATAGATTCAGCACCAGTGTCATCAGTGGATTTGCCATTATTTTCTCCCACTTGAACCATCCTGCTGAACCTAGACTGGTCATCTTCACAGACACACAATTTATCAGCCCCAAAGGATAAAGGCCAAACACCCAAAGTTACCCCTAAATTTAGCATATGGGGAGAGATGGCTTGTTTCTGTCCAATTCCCAGGGATGTACAATTGTGCCATTATAGGAACCTTCCCCACTATAGACTCAGTTCTAAAAGATGTACCAGAATAAGTTTTGACTTTAAGTACTAAATGTGTTCAAGACAAACAGTTCTCCCTCTATTTTTTCAAAATAATATCAAATTTTCCTACCAATCTAGCCAAAAGAGACTCCCCCAAATTTTATAAGCCCTTGAACCCTACTGGACAGGGCATTGGTCTAAGAAAAGTTCTGGTTCTTAATAGTACCTCTACTACTTACAGACATGTTGCCTAAATTCTTTAAGCCCTAGATCAAGGTCTCGAAAATGAGAATAATATTTAACTTGCCTATTTCAGGGGACTATTTGTGAAAATAATATGAAACAATATAGTAAACATACTCTTAAAACAAAAACGTTACACAAATATTTGATATTACTAGAACTGGGTCTGAAATCTTCAGTATTGTATTTTTGATTGGGCTTAAAACATCGTACACATGAAGTTAAAGGGAACTCTAAAACCTAACAAGATTACCCATCTTAAAGGGAACTCCAAATCCTAAAAAGATTACCCATCTTGTACTCAACTAGATATTCCCCTACCGTATATCACATTGTTTGAAGAAAAATAGAATAGGGCCTCTGGTAATTATTTCAGAAATTCTTTCAAAGGCTGTTTGGAAGACATTACTGGTAAGGACTAAAGAAAGGGGTAAAGAAAATAGAAAGCAAGGAAAGAAATTGAGTAATACTCTCAACTTGTCATCTCAAAGATAACTCACTTCTTGTAATTCAGAGTCAAACTATCCTAGAAATGACTGATTAAAGAGGATGAAAATTATTTCTCAAATACTTAATTCTCCAATATGCAAACATATATAAGAAAGTGCTTTAAATATATAGCATAAAAGCTTTTGGTAAACATTTTACCTCTTGGGAAGCTCTCAGTGAAATCACAACTTATCAGGAAATCCTGAGAATAAATAAAATGATAAAATATACTCAAAGGCAAACAATCTCTTTGCCTTCCTAGCACCCCACACCAAAGGTTACTTAATTCTGGCTCCTTATTCTTTTTTAATGGTTTCATTTTTCTGCGTAAGTGTGCTTTAAGTCTCACTGTGACCAAACACAAAGTCATTTTTATGCAGTTATCTAAACACACATATGAGAAATAAATCTGCTTATACAGCTTTAGTTAATATAATGGTGAGTTATTCTACCCATGCTGATAATGCCACTAAAAATGTATTGTTACTGTACTACATTGACCATTACATTGTACAAAGTAGTTGTACAATCATAAACGAGTGACAGTTAATCAACTAAATGCACAGATGACATTTACTTTCTATTATTCACCTAATACGTTTAGGCAGGGGTGGGGGGGCATACCTAGTCCTGCATTTAAAAGTTGAAAAATATTTCAACTCTGTAGATTATATTGTGACAGGCAATTATTCAGCCAGATACATTTTTTAAAACTGTTTAAGGTGAGGAATACTAGGAAGACATTTATAATTTACATGACAAAGATTAAGCAACAGACTTAAACATGTGATATAAATAAGATACAACCAAAATCCATTTTAACAACATATCGGAATTTTTATGGGAGAATTTTTCTTGTAACAGCTCTTTGAATGTAAATTTGATCAAAGAAAGTAAAACATTTATCATATTCAGCGTAAACACTAGCTTTATCCATTCAATAAAAGATCAGTGAACAAAACTTTGACCACGTTAAGCATTTTCATTGCTAAAGTGAAATTTTCCATTGTATTTTTCTAATGAATACAAAGTGACTAAAGTTATTGCTTTGGAGTAAAATATATGCAACTGGCATTCTCAGTTGAGATAGTTGAATGTTTTACAATTTACTTCAAAATAATTTGTAGTTTACTGGTTCTCAACTCTTTTCTGTCCTAACACACTCAATGAATACTGCACACAGAAATATAACAATAGCAATGAGGGGGGCACTTGGCAGAATGAGCACTGGGTGTTACACTATATGCTGACAAATTGAACTCCAAAAAAAAATAAATAAAAAAAGAGAAATATAACAATAAATATAACACAAAATTTCTTTTTTTTCTTTTAGAGAGAAAGAGAGCACCACCTGGGGGGGACAGTGTGGATGGCAGAGGGAGAGGGAGAGAGGGGATCTTAAGCAGGCTCCACACCTAGCACAGAGTCCCCAGAGTCCAAAGCGGGATTCCAACTCACGACCCTGAGATCATGGCCCTGAGATAATGAACTGAGCCTACATCAAGAGTAGAGAACTTAACCAACTAGGCCACCCTGATACCCCATATAATAGACAAATTCTTAAACAGACTATTTACATGGAGAGAGGGAGAGTCCTGTATCAGGACTGGGGATGGAAGAGTATATTTTACAAAGCCTTCCAGTAGAATAAAGCTAAATAATTTCCTCTCCTTCCAGCAGTCCACGTGGTAGGCTGAGGAGGAAAGGAAAAGAGACAAGGTATAATTTTTTTCCCTGCACAGGTTCTTCCTAATTTAGGAATAGGAAGGAGCAAGAAAAGTTGGCACATATCCAGCCCCCCAAGGATAAGCAAGGGAGTAAGGTAGCTGAAATTAGGTGATGTTAACTACAGTATCCATGTGGACACATAGGACTAAGGCAGTACAGCACAGGAGTTAGACAGACTTGAATCACACTACAGGTCAGCCTAGGTTCAAACCTAAGCTCTACTACTAACTAGCTGTGTGAGCTTGAGCAAGTATGTTAAACACTCTGGGCTTCAATTACCTTCTCTCTAAAATAAGGTTAACAGTATCTTTTTTTTAAAAAAACATTTTATATATTTATTCATGAGAGACAGAGAGAGAGACACAGACACAGGCAGAGGGAGAAGCAGGCTCCATGCATGGAGCCCGATGCGGGACTCAATCCTGGGTCCCCAGGATCACACCCTGGGCCAAAGGCTGTGCTAAACCGCTGAGCCACCCGGGGTGCCCAGGATAACAGTATCTAATGTATTTTATATTAAAGAGTTAATACAGTAACAAACTTAAAATAGGGCCTACTGTGTCAGGCAGTATCCTAAGTGCTGGTTAAAGAAAGAAATAAACCAGAAACCAGAAGCAAGTGTGAAGGCTAAAAGTAATGAACCAGTAACAGAGTCCAGTTAGTAGCTTCAGTGAGGAACACAAAGAGTATTGCTGAGAAGAGAGTATGTGCCCTGAGGACAAGCACCAAGCTGGGTGACAGAGAAACAGGGACACACTGTCAGGACTGTCCACCCCACATGCTGGCCTGGATTTATAGCAGCAGTTGGGGAGTAAATCCTAGAATGGTGAGTGGCAACTGACACAACCATAAAATTCACTAAGCTAATAGTTAAGGGTATTTACATAACTTTATTACCTACATATGGCAGTCTTTAGCAAGTATTTCTATCTCAGTGGTGTGTGTGTGCGCATATGCACCCACATGCACATGTAAAGGGGTTTAAGACAAATAAGCATATACAAATAACTTTTAAAGATCAGTGACTCCTCAATGAACTGTCAATAATCTTTATATTTCATTCAATTATCTAAAAAATACAATGGATTTCTACGAACTCTTATTGAAAAGATTTAGAGAGAATTGCAACAATGAGTATCTGACAACTACGTATTAATCAGCTAGTGGGAAAAGGAGTAAATACAATCAAGTACTCAATCTGTTGTAAGGTACAAACAAAAAGTAAAATGGGAATCAGAATAGGTTTCCAAACTTTGCTTTTATTTTTATGTTCCTCAAACAACCTACCAGAAAGCTGTTTTTCCTTACAAATGACATATCATAATTCAATATCATAAGGGATGATATCCCTAAGATATATTCAATATCATAAGGGATGATAACCCTAAGAATAAAAACTCTGCTTAGTAAAAATTCCTGAATTCCATATATTGGCAGGTGTAATAAAAAGGTGAGATAGTGGGATCCTGCCAAATACAGACCTGCTCATCATATGAAGATAGAGAAGCCACCAAATGAAAGATGGAGTCCTCAGAAATGCAAACTAAACATACCAGTAGAGAACACTCATGTTGCCTGCATGAACCCCAAAGAGGACTTCTTTTCTATTGAAAAACTCAAGTAACAAGATATCAAAACACTTTTTTGCTGAAATGCAAAATCTAGTATTTGACTAAACATTATTTTAGTGAATGGTAGTGTTTGAGGCACAAAAATGAAGCCATCTAGATGTTTCATTTTTTTTTAATAAAATACCCAAGGGTCCTCTATTTTCCTGGAGACTTTTATTCTATTTTCTCATTTGACTTGAATTATCAGGTTAGCAGAGCTTTTTCACTGCTACAATATGTTCTCAGTCCCATCTAGACACTTAAAACTTCTGCAAAAGCTGGAGGCTGGCAGAAACAGTATCCTCTCCCTACCCAAGAAAAATCCTGACTCAACTTTCAAATATCATCAGCTACTTCAGAAATCAGTATTTATAATGGAAGACCAAGTTCAAATAGACAAGATGCTACAGGACAAGAGTATTCACTCTAGTAGACTAAGGGACAACAGAAATCTCCAAAACAGCTAAAACCATTTTGTCATAGGCATTTTTAAGAGCATGAGAGATGAATTAGAAAAAATAGCCCTCTCCAAATAATCCATCCTTTTCTACTCCCTTCCAGTCAACTTGCAGCTTTTTTTAGGACTCTTATATTCAATCTCACTATCAGCAGACCCCAATTTCTTCACCCCAACCTAGCCATCATGCCAAAACACACACACACACACACACACACACACACACGCCAACAACATGGGGATCTTAAGACACTGGGGAAAATGGAAGGCAGTATATTTACCCAAAAAGGAAAAGTTTCGCTATGGTAGGATTTCTTACCATGAAGGGCATAGCAGATTCAGTGGGTCAAATCCAGCAAGCAGGAGAGATGGTAGCCATTCCTTGTATTTTTTCTGTGCTTTAATTGCATGACTTATAAATTCAGAAATATGGTTCCATGGTGTCAATGGGCAACCTTTCTTCAAAAAGTAGCGGAACACTGAAAACTTCTCATACTTTAAGCAGTATGCCAAATGAAATTCATTTAGTTGGGCTCCATATTTCAAAAGAATATTCACAATCCCAAAAAATTCGCAGCTCCACCACACACACACACAAAAAAAAAAAAAAAAAGAAGAAGAGAGAAGTTAGACTTTTGCATAAAATAATTCTTACCAAGAGTTACTAGCACTTACAGCTGGAAAATAAATGGCAGATGGAATAGCAGAATGCTGTGATGTGTGTCACAGAGGAAGACCTTCCTCTAAGGTCCTTCTAGTTGGACTTAGAATGAAACTGACACGAGAAAGATTAACAAGAAAAAATCAAATTTAACAGGCATAGGTTTGGAGAATCCACATAGACATGAAATTCCAAAGACAAGGAGGCATGACCTTATTTGAGCTTAGAGGGGTTGGGCCTGAGGATACAATTAGCAGGAAGGTAAAATAAGGGGTTTGAAAAAACAAGTGGTCCTATTATGCAGATGAGTTAATTCGGTAAAGGGGAGTCTCTGATAATAGTTCCCTTCTTGTTGCAGGCTCTCCTTTCCAATGTAAAATTAGGCAGTTATGGGGGAGACAGAGAGTTTTTCTTGCATCTGCTAGGTTTTATTCTTTTAACTCAAAATAATCTTATGCCAAAGTGATACATTTGGGGACCTCTCATCCTGCAACCCTTCATGTGTCTACTGAATGGGGACTAAGGGTAAGGGAGTATTTTACTTTTTAATTTACACCCTCCTGCATGGTTTTTGACTATGAACAGGTAGTGCCCTTAGAATTTAAAACATTCATCTTAAGTAGAGAATTTTAAAAATTATCATTGACTAATAGAAAACTCTCCCCAAATTGTGGGATTTTTGTACGATTAAATATCTACAACAAAATACTTGGAAGCAAAATTAATTAACAAAGTCATCAGGCCTTAAAAGATAGAGGGCTCATTCTAGGAATCTCCCAGATATCATATCTTTTAGCAAGAGTCTTAATTTCTCTTTTAAGTTTACAATGATAAAAACAAGAAAGGCTTTTTTTATGAACAAAAATTTAACTTACAGCTTTATATTTTTAAATTAATCATCTTTATCAAGTACTTTTACAGAATAAAAGTACATTGTTTTATATCGATTCAACTGGTTAGTTGGTTTTTTTTTTTTTAATGTATCATCCAATACTAGTAAGGTGTGGTTAAATTAGCTGAAAATAAGTGTGACCCTTTTCTGAGAGAGCTAACTGGCAAGATACATCAAAAGACGTAACAGCAATTACAAGGGGTACAAGCTCAGCTATATACTATCTATGGAACTCTGAACAAGTTACTTCACCTTTCTGGCACACAGAACTATATAGTATTTCCAAAATAAAATCATATGTAAAGTAAGTTATCATTAAGTTAATTAAAATAAAACATAATTAAATTAGAATAAAACATAATGGGGGTGCACGGCTGGGTTAGTCAGTAGAGCATGCAACTCTTGATCTCATGGTCAAGTTCAAGCCCCATGTTGGGAGTGGAACCTACTTTAAAAAATAAATAAATAAAATAGAATAAACATAAATCTTGGGAATTTATACAAGACAAAATCAAAATGATATTTTGATATTATATCCTATCTGTACAATGTTAACAATAGTGTTATCTGTAACAGACTTTAAAAAGAGAGAAATTACCTAAATGTTTAAGAGAGGAGTGGATAAATATAGAGTATGATATAATCATTAAAAACTGCAATCATGATGGCTGTGTGACCATATTTTAAAAACTGTTTATGCTACAGTTTTAACTATAACAAAGCTCAGTAAAAAGTATATTTTCTATGTACACAACTGTCAAAGAAAAAATGTTATAAAATCATTCTCCTGGGGCACCTGGGTGGCTTAGTCAGTTAAGTGTCTGCCTTCAGTTCAAGTCATGATCCCAGGGTCCTGGGATTGAGCCCTGAGTTGGGCTCTCTGCTCAGTGGGCAGTCTGCTTCTCCTTCTCCCTCTGTGCTCTCTCTGTTTCTGTCTCTCTCTCTCCCTTCCTCCCTTCTCACTCTTCTCTCTCTCTCAAGCAAATAAATAAAAACAAAACAAATCATTCTCCCTTTGAAACTGACATTGCTATTTTAAACAACTATAAATTAAAAAAATATCTCAATCACAGTATTATGGAATCTGAGTAAAAAAGGCATAAAAATTACAGTTAAAACAAATATAAAATGCTTAAGCCACTGTCATATGAAACCAACAACTTCTGAGGACTTATGTATACAATTTGAAATCAAAGTTTTAAAAGCAGTTAAAAATAATAATAAAAATAAAAGCAGTTAAAAAAAAACAAATACATAAGTACACTGTTACTAACTGATGTATATTTTTAAAAACCTATGTAATTCAATCTCCAATTTGTGCTTTTCTTTTTTTAAAGATTTTATTTATTTATTCATGAGAGAGAGAGAGAGGCAGAGACACAGGAAGAGGGAGAAGCAGGCTCCATGCAGGAAGCCTGATGTGGGACTCGATCCTAGGACCTCAGGATCATGCCCTGGGCCGAAGCTGGCGCTAAACTGCTGAGCTACCCAGGGATCTCTGTGCCTATTTTTGGTTAAAATTTTAAACAGTATTTGCCTTACTTTTAGCTATTTACATAATAAGGAGAAAAAAAAATATTGAGGGGTGCCTGGGTGGCAGAGTCAGTTGGACATTCAACTCTTGGTTTTAGCTCAGGTCGTGATCTCAGGGTCCTGAGATGGAGCCCTGGGTGGTAGGTACCATGGCGTCGCACTCTGCACTCAGCTTGAGTCTACACCAATTCTACTACCCAGGAGCCCCCTCTAAAATTTCTTTATAAAAATTAATAGCCTTTTTGCCTGTCTACCATCTCACTATTTTTCCTGATGAGAGGTCTATCATTCATATTATTATTCTTGAAAACAGCCCTGTATGTATGTATTTTTTCCTCTGGTTCTTTTCAGATATAGGAAAACTGAGAAATCTGTTGCCAGCAGTCTTATACTACAAGAAATGCTGAAAGATACACTTCTGACGGATGGTTCTGAACAGTTATCACCAATTTATTTCAACCACTTTGACCTCATTTGACTAGGCTCTCATTATTTTGCCTGCAGTTATTCCTTGCTGCTTCTACTATAGAACAGACAAGCTACACATGGACTGCTGAACAAGTTCCAATAAATATGCAGGTAAACTATGAGAAACTGCTTCACTAAAATGTGATATAGAATTCTCAAGAAGCCTGGCAATTTTCAAGGCATGAGTGTTTACATGTGCAATTCAGGGACTGGCTGAATTCTTCCATCTAGCGCTCTGAAACCATCAATAGCCAAACCACAGATACTTTAGCTCTTAATGATTTAGCTCTTGAAACACATTTTTGCTATAGAATACAAAGGTAAATGAAAACCCTAAATGCAAGCCATTAGATTAAATGCCACAGATGGGTTCTCCAGCCATTTTCTGTTCAGAAAAAACTACAAAACAATTAGTGGCTTTCTTATTAAAATTTCAATATAGCACCCAGGCATGTGGCTCCTGCTAAGAAAATTTTAAGAACAAGGCCAAAAGATAAGTCATTCATCTCTAAAATGTAGGAGAAACATATGCACATACAATTCCTTATAATAACAAAATTAGTATTTATTCTGTACCAGGCACTATGTTAAATGTGTTACATGGAAGATTTGCCTTCATCCTCATAACAACCCTAAGAAGTAAGATCTATCATTATCTCCATTCTAGACACAAAAATTGAAGCTTAGTCCTGAGATGGTAACTGGTGGTATGGGTGTAACATCAAACCAAAATCTACAGTGAATATGATGGCAAATATATGAGACAGCTCTCCTCTAACTATTATGAAAACTGAACACTTCATGAAATAGTCAAATGAAATTGAGGGATACTTTAAGGCCAGATTTATGTTTCCCAAAGTATGTTCCATGGAACACTAGACCCTAAAAATGATCCATATGACAAAGGCTCCATAATGAAAATATTTGAGAAACCCTATATGGCATACAGTAAGGTCAGAAAAGAGAGAACTATATGATGAATTTTTTAAAAGTATGTTAGAAAAAAATAATTATAAATAAAATAGGCTAGTTACATTTTTTAATTAAATGCCAAAATGTCTTCAACCTCCAGACACATCTCAGAAGAATCTTTTTTTTTTTTCCAGAAGAAATATCTCTCCTGATTGAGCCATCCAGGGGTCCCCAGAAGAAATATCTTTAAAATTAAAGAAATGGATCTGTTAAAAAGAAAATCACAGGCATGGCATCGCCTGGGTTAAAGTCCCAAGTCAGTAAACCAAGACTTAAAACCTAACCTAACTGTAGTTTCAACATCCTAAGGAATGTGACCTTTAACCTGAAAACATGGAATTTTCTGGTCAATATTAGAAAACTTACTGATGGATCTTCATTCCCTTAGGAAGGCAACCTTGCCTAAATAATGCATTCCTTGATAATAAGTTCCTGTCTCCTTTTTTTATGCTTTCTGCCTTTAAAAACCTTTTTTGTCTAGTTCAGTGATGATCCCCTCTATTTGCTAGATGGGATGCTGCCAGATTCATGAATCATTTAATAAAGCCAATTAAGATCTTCAAATTTACTCAGTTGAATTTTTTTAACAGGTCCAATTGTTAATCTGAAAAAAGCATAATAGAGTTTAAAATGCCCCCAAAAGTCTATAAACACAAGAACAAAAGTATATTTATAGTAAACCTAAGTTCATCCTATTTTCAAACTTTTCAAACTTATGTAGTTTCATTCTCTTCTTTAGGAATTCACAGACAACCCCATAAGAAAAACTCTTAGAAGCCTTTCAGGAAAAAAATTTAGTGAACCCTGTGTTTCCTGGACTTAATTAACTATAGAACCCCTTATGTCCTATGTAATATCTATTAACAACCTATTGAATTACTATTCTACAAAATACACATTGGAAAACCAGTTATCAGCCTTGGTTTGAACAAGAGCACACTCCTAAAAGGCTTACGTAACTCCCTACTACTACATTTATAGACCCTTTTCTAACAAAACTATCATTTATATGGCATATAATAAACACAAAATTAAATGAATGATCATAAAC